TAAATTAGTCAAGCATAATATGAGCTGTAATATTTGTTGCATTTCAAATTCCATTCGGGATCCCCTCAACATCAGAAAGAGTCATAAAGCCTCCCTCCGAACTAACTTCATGTTGCTATTTGCAACAACTAAATTAGCAAAAGACAAGATCTTTGTGACTAATGTAATTTTTTGTACCCCAAAAGGTATTGGTAAAGTCACCTTTTGGTAAATTTTGGTTTGTTAATCATTTGTAGGTGGGCTATTGGAGTAATTTTATTAAGTCCTTATATGTAAATATGAATTAAGAATAGGTGGATCTTCTTATTCAAACTAATCAGTTTAATCTACCCTGCGCTTGAAAATTTTAACTCATTAATATTATTAATTGTCCAACATAGCTCATACCTATGGTAGGTGCTAGAGGTAGAACAACAACAAAGAAATGGGCCCTCCTTCAAAGACCTCACAGTTTAGTCATCTCCCAAAAGTTATTTGCATTGGTGGAACACTGTTAAAACTGGATATATCTTGGGTGCTCTTTGAGCCAACCAGAATCTGTCTGGGCCAATCAGAACTAGTTAGGTCCACTCAGAATGAATTTAACAGGTAGTCAATTAGAATAATCTTCTCAATCCTCCTTCACACTATGACTATGTTTTGAGTGACTCTTAGATGCAAGATCTGCTACAGTAAAGTCCTCACCCTCAGAATAGTTCACAAGGCAGATACCTAGGCAATTGGTCAATCAACTAAGTCTCTTATGTGGTAATAAATTGTATGGATGGAATTGATGAAATATATGGAGAATGCATGAGTTTGCTATTTTGCTAAGTCAGACTAACAACAAAACTTAGAAACCTGACTGTAGAATTGAGGCTACCAGAGGGAAAGGGAACGTGGAGGAGAAGAAAACAAATTGGGTAGGGAACACAGTGGACTCTGGGGCTGGACTATGAATACTTTGGTAGTCGTGTGGTGCAGTAACAGCACCTGAAGGAGGAGATCCTATACCTCTAAAGCACTAACAAAGTGTAAACTAAGAATACCTGAATTAAAAAAAAAATAATTATAGAATTGGTTTAAGAAAGACCTCTCTGACAACAGATATCCAAGCAAATATTTACGATATTGAGGGATTGGACTATGTAGAAATCTGGAGAAAATGACTCCCCCACAGAAAATTCAGAGGCCCGGAGTCAGAAGTATGCTTGACTTATTTCAGAATAAGCAAGAAATCCAGTAGGAAGAGAAAAGGCAAATAAGAAGGTAAAAAGAAAAATTAGTCTGTTTGGTAGTAAAGACCACTTTTGTTTTTTATTATTTTAAAGATTTATTTATGCATACAAGATATGGGGTGCAGGCCAGAGGTATGGGGGGGTGAGAGGACTCACCAGAGACAGAATGGGGAGCAGAACAGGCAGATTCACTGAAATACACTGCTGAGGGGAGCAGTGGGGCAAGGTCTACTCTTCCATGTGGGTCACCTCCCTGACTGGGGATCAAACTTGTGCTGCAGTGGCTGTGGACAGCTTCATAGAGCTGCAGTCTTAACCCCTTGCACCAACAGGGAGGCCCCAAAGACCAGATTCTTATCTTTGAAGGTGTTGGAGGATTTTGAGCAGATGAAAGCTATCATATAACTTACAATATAGAATGATCACTTTGGCCATTATTCTAAGAATAGGTTTTAAATGTTTGTGGATAAAAGCAGGGGGATCTATTGAAGAATCCAGGTAAGGGAAGTCCACACAAGAGATGACAGATCCTTGGACAAGGGTACAAGCAGTAGAGTGTTGAGGCTGTAGGTTTGTTAAAGTGTTTTGAATATAAACACAAAGAAAAGTCACTGGGGGTATGCAAAAATGAGAATGAGATTAAGGATGAATCTAATGTTTGGGTCTGAACTTCTATAAAACTCAGGACTGAATCATTTATTATCCATTAAGTCTTCCAATATAGAAGTCATTCTCTCATCCTTTTGGGGACTCTATATTCCATTTTCCAAGAGATGAAGGAGAAATATGCTAAAATTAAAGCGCAGCAAATTTTACAATGTTCCAAATGGATTAAGGTCTTTTAGGTGTAACACCTTGGAGATTTCCTTACCTAGGGTGACTGAATATTTTTTTTAAAGATTTATTATTTTTTATTTATGGTTAGAAGAACTGGGGTGCAGGCCGGAGGAGTGGAGAGCTAGAGGATTCACCAGAGACAGAGTGGGGAGCAAAACAGGCAGATTTATGGAAATATACTGCTGAGGGGAATAGCAGGCAAGACAGGAGAGATCTGCTGTGCTATCTATGGGTTAACTCTCTGTCTGGGGATCAAACTCAGGTTGCAGTAGTGATAGCACTGAGACTTAACCCCCTACGCCACCAGGGAGGGCCGCCTATTTTTTGTTTTCTTATTCATTGCATTGGACATTTTTTGATTGTCAGAATGGGGTAGAAGTTCAAGCTAGATCAGTTCTAGGAAGCCCAGATCAAATCTGAGTCAGTGTGGTTCACACCCCCATGCTGCAAACTAATTCTCTTACTGTGTCCTCTTCAGGCTAGACATATGCTATACCTTACAACCACTTGAAAATGTTTCTTTATTGGACTACCTATCTTAGGATTTATTTGCATCTCAGGAAGAACCATGTTTAAGATTATAAAGCTGTCTAGAGTGTTTGCTAAAAATGAACTTTGGTCCATTTTCCATCAGGCCAGATGTTTCCTTCAATTATAGAGGACAGGAGTTTTGCTACCCAGGGGATTTCACAAATTAGGAAGATTTGATGTTTCTTTGCCAATGGTGGAAATATATCAGGCATATCATTTTTAATTTTATTTCTAGAAGTGAATGTTTTCTGGATTCATTTAATTTTTATAGGCTATGCTTTTTTATTGTTGAGAATTCTCTGTATTTCTAGTATGAAATGTTGTGTTATTCTTTTCACTCCACAGTGTATCAAGTTCCCTGTATCCATCCAGGTTCTTAGCAAAATAATAAGACATTTGAAGAAATGAATTTATGTTGGCTTGGCCCCTACTGCACTGCTATGTGCATTTTAAATGACCCTCAGGAATTATATGTATTAATAAAAATGAATTATTAATTCTATCTTATAATTTAGTAGTTGAAGGCTGATTTCTTAAGTTTATTTTTAGAGAGAGGTTCCATTTAGAGCTATAGTGGGCACATTTAAATACACTAATTTCTGTTTCAAATCCTGCTTTTGGAGAAGGCAGCTCTAGTTGTAAATATTGCTGTAGAACCAAAGGAGGAAACAATAGATTCAATGGAGAAGGGTTCATGCAGCTAAGGAGAATTTTGACCTATGTTACTGGAAGCGGAGAGCAATCTTGAACCTTATTCCTGGGGGTTCTAGCAATTCACATAGATGGCATAATCCCAGTGATTTTGTCAGAACTTTATAAAAACGACAGTGATTATTTACACGTGGACTCTTTTTGTCCATTAAAAGCTGCAGGTAAGCAGCACTCCCACAAGGATTTGGGGCCAGATTCACAAGGAAACATGTCTACTCCTTTTACTTCCCACACATGATTTAGCTAATTCAACACAGTTAATTCTGGTGATGTTTTTGGTGAAGGCATTGGAAAAAAATACTGGAGTTAGAGTGAGGAAACATAAATTAAATGGTGAAACAAGTGATGGGACACATTCACTTCTGAGTCTTTGTTTTCTTATCTGAAAAAAAAAGTGGAGCTGGAGTAAGTGATTTTTAAAACAACTTCCAAATTAAAAAAAAAAATTTGTATCCTTGTCTGTCAGGAGATCACCAACATTTCAAATGACTATTTATAGACCAATGATAACGCACATTACCTATGGTCAGTTTCTTTCTTTGTTGTCAAACAGGGAAGGTTATAATTTGTTCAGGATCCATGCTGATCTCTAGCTCCCAATCACATCTGACCTGGGATGTGGTTGAAGGCTTCCAGGAAGCCCCTTACTAAATTAGGAGAATGTGCGACCAGGACCTGATTTATCTTTGACACAAGAGCAAATGTCTTTTAAATATAGACCTTGGTAATTTTTTAAAACAAGCTCTGAATTCAAAATTCAGAAGGAACTTGAATGTAAAGTTAGAGTATTTTTGTGGATATCCTTTTAGGAAAAGGAAAATTAATGAAAACATGCTTTCCTCAAATCACATAATTTAGGAGCACAAACTTCAGATATGAGAAATCTTTGACCCTAAGAGATTTATTTTGTAATTTCAAACTTGAGGTTTGGTGGGTTTGAAATGTTCTCATAATTGTTTGAAAATGCCTCATTTAACCCTAGTTGTAAATGAAGTTCATCTATTGGTGTTAGGAAAGGCAAAGTGGTGGCTGATTATTGTTTATTTAACACCTAACCACATGGCAGACTTTGTTCAACTTCTACATTGTTATTTCAGTGCTCACTATGTGTTGGGCACTATAATAATAGCAGTACATACATATGTGGCACTTTCTATATGCCCGGGTAGTAAGTGCTTTATGCGTAAAAATTAATTTAGTCCTCTAAACAACCCTATAAGGAAGGTATTGTCACCATTGAGGGATGAGAAAACTGTGGTACAAAATAACTTTTCCAATGTCATACAATTTGTCAGTAGTCGAGCTGAGTTTTGAAACCAGCACTGTAGCTCTATAGTCTCTACCTTTTATTATGAAAACAACATAGCAGTTTCCTCAAGGCTTATCACATCCTAATTTAGCAGGGATTATCATTCTACTTTTAATATCAAGAAACAGAGGAAGAGTTTGAGTAACTTGCACAAGGTTAAATAGTGGCTCAGCTAGGTCTATAAAGGACTTCAATTTTACTTTTTATTTTTACTACTGTATCAAAAGAAAATTAGAAGTGTGCTTACTTTATTATTTGCTTAGATTCTCAGAATTAGATGACTCTGATTTCAGAAGGGTGTTGGTAAAAGAAAGTCATGAAGTTGCATGCATAAGAGATCTGCCCCAAACCAGAAAAATCTTCAGATCATCAGAGCTTTGTAACTCATATTTCAGGTCCTGTAGTCAAGAATTCCAGTGTGAATTCAGCTCCATCATGGAAGAGCATGGAATCTTGGGTGAGTTACTCACACCTTCTAAATACTAAAGATATTTGAACATGGAACAGATTTTCAATTCAGGATCCAAGAAAATGGAGATTCTGCCATAGGAATTAGAATGTAAGATGATGATGTTGTCTTAAGTCTGTATTGAAAGGTCTGGAACTTAAACATAAGTAAGAAAGGAAAGAAAATATTAGAGATAAGATTTGCTTATTATTACAGAACTGAATCATTTCAGTAATGATTTTTTCTCTAGGTATCCTTAAAATCACCCTGGACTTTGGGTACATCTTATTCTAGAACTAACAGTCTGTGACACCTAGTATAAGCATTCATGGCTCCATCATTGAGGAGAGGACAGAGAACCAGTTAGATATTAAGCCCTATCGTAACGAAGAGGAAAGTAAAGTGAGGTTGGCTTTGAAATGGTGATAAAAAATTTTTCTCTCTATGCTTTTTTTTTTTTTTCTGTTTCATAATATATTTACCATCCTAGCTAGAAAACTGGGCTAGGTGAACTGCCTACCCACCACCAACTAAATAATAACTAAAAAAATGACATTTTTATGAGCCTAATTATTTTTATGACTTTCATCACATTGATAACTACCAAAATGGTTGACTTCTCATAACTTGTCTCCCTAGAATGAGTTGTCATGTGTCTATAATTAGATTAGAAAATGTCTAGGTCAATCACAGAGTATTAATCAAGGGCCCTGCTCACAGCAATAACATGAAGACCTATCATGTGTTTCTTTAATAAGGTCTTCTGTTTGCTGAGAAATTCATGAAAACGTTGATCTAAGCTAGACCAGCACCACCCAGAAAAATCTAAATTTTCTCACTGATATGATAGTCAAAAATGTATGTCAATGACAAGTAAGGAACAATTGCAGTTTAATAAATGCATCTGCATTTAAACAAGTTAATGATTATGAAAGGCAAATACACCCGCAGAGAGTGAGCTTGCCCGAACTTAAGGCAATTCACTTGCTTACCAACCTCAAGGCTGAAACGGATGAGTTTTCTTCTTTCTTAACATTTTCTCTATCTTGGGTAAGATCTGATTATCAAATGGTATATGTCCAAAACATGCCACAGCAAGAAAAATTAAGCTCCTACTCTGTTTCTTCTCTTCTTGGGAGTTTTACAGTTACCCATTAACACTTAGCAGAAACAGGTGACATGCCAGGTACCTTGTGGTACTGAGACACATCTAGGCAGAGGCACTTGGGGGACCATAGGGGTCATTCCTAAACAATACTTTATTACAGTCAAAATGCTGGAAAGTAGTGTGACTCAGACTGCTTTATCGTGTTTATTGGGAACAGAGACTAACTGAGAGCAACTTGGATTAACATGAGAGGAGTTACAGGGTAATTAACTTCTTCCACATCACATGTAAGTATAATGTGTTAATAAAAAAGTAATCACACCTCCATTGTTTCTGCAGGTTCAGCTTAATTACATGGCAGTTAGAACTCTCTCCTTATTCATACTCAGCAAGGACTCCCTTTACCATCTGCTGATATTTAATTAATATACATTAAACGCCCTGCTCTATTATTAAATGTAATTTAACAACTTCCTCTGTACTCTAAATTCGGGGCAACATGAATGGAAGACATAATGAAAAGAAAATAGCATCTACTTCCCCTATTAAAATATTATAAACACATTTATCCCATATAACTTTATTTAATCCAATTTAGGAAATACATTTTTCACCTTAATAATAGAAATATTCTTAGAAGCTTTAGGAGTTCATAGTTTACTGACATCCAAGAAAGGATTTTCTTGGTGAGCAAAATCATCTAATTGAAAAGTAGCCCCCTGTTGATCCTATTTCAAAAGCCTGGGAATTTGAAGAATTGGCAGATGATTAGAAGGAAAACAGTGTATGCCTCTTCCCAATATTTCCAGTAAATTTTTAATGCTAAAATGTTATGATGTATAGAACTCAGAGGTGACTCGGGATGGCAACAGTGCTTAGAAGCTATAGTTGTCCTTGTTACAGAAATTCAGATGTGTTCAATGTTTGCAGCTTAACTTACATGAGCTTAGCATTGTAAACTAAAGGATATTAAACCTTCAAGTTTCTGATTTCTAAGTGAGGAAACAGACTCACACATTGGCACCCCAAGATTACATGGTTAGCTTACACCATGGCAAAGTAACAAAACCAACTCTTCAGGTTAGGGGGAACAGTCCCCTGCCACAGGTGCATGCAAGGAGGTAGTGTGGTCTAAAGAGAAATGAAAAGAATTTTAAAGTGAGCAGAGGTTAGTCTGCTTTTTTGTTATTACACAGCAGTGGCAGTTTTAATGATAATTTTTTTTTTTAATTAATAAATTTTATTTTTATATTCCCCATACAATTGCAATCCCCCCATTCTGACCCAATCCCTCCCCTCCCGCCCCCACCCCCAAAAAGTGTCTCTGGTTCATAGTTTTTGTTGATTTTGATTTTCACTTTCTTATAGTTATTCATTTTCCTGGTCCCTTATTTAAGTTTTCTAGATCCCTGCTATGAGTGAGACCATCCGGTATTTTTCTTTTCTTTTTGGCTTATTTCACTGAGCATGATCCCTTCCAGCGTCATCCATGTTGCTGCAAATTGCATGTGTTCCAAAGAACACCTGCACCCCTATGTTTATAGCAGCACTGTTTACAATAGCTAAGCTTTGGAAACAGCCCAAATGCCCAAAAATAGATGACTGGATCAAGAAGATGTGGTACATATATACCATGGAATATTACTCAGCATTCAAAAAAGATAAACACATGCAATTAATGATAAAATTTTAATGATAAAATACTTCTCAAGGGACTATGGATCTTCCCAAGTCCCCCTCAACTCCTATTGATATGTCACGACCAGAGCTCCAGATTTAGTGATTAAGTCACAATTTGCAATGCCATGTCACCTACTATAAACTAACTTCTTACAAAAGGTTTATACTAACAATATTTCAAATGGGCTGCATTAGGTTTATCTGCATTTTAGGTATATCTGAGCTAATCCTAATGCAGATACCAGACTCTGCAGAGATGTACTGTCTTTGCAGATATAACTCTCAGAGCAACTCCATACTGACTAGTAATTAAGAGGCAGGCAGGGGAAGTGTTTTGGGAATCCTTGAAAATTGAAAAACCCAGTGGTCATCGTAGCCATAGAGAGCAGAGTTGAGCTTAGCATGTAAGGAAAAGGGGTACTGGGGAATTGCTCCAGGATCCCAGCTATAAGCTCTGTAAAGACGCTACCTCTTTAGTTTTTTTTTTCACCCTTGATAAGTACATTTATTTTTTAAATTAATATTTTATTTTATAAAATTCTTACATCATTTTTTCATTTTTGCACAATGTATGCATTTTCATTTTGGTTATATTCCTCACACAATTGCAATCCCCCTCCCTTATTTTGACTGGTCCAACCACTATGGAGAGCTGTGTGGAGATTTCTGGACCTACTAAACATAGAGCTTCCATATGATCCAGCAATTCCTCTCCTAGGTATTTACCCAAAGGACACAGAAACATTAATTCCAAAGGGCACCTGCATCCCTATGTTTATAGCAGCACTCTTTACAATAGCTAAGCTTTGGAAACAACCCAAATGCCCAAAAATAGATGACTGGATCAAGAAGATGTGGTCCATATACACAATGGAATATTACTCAGCAATCAAAAAAGATAAACACATGCAGTTTGCAGCAACATGGATGGAGCTAGAAGGGATCATGCTCAGCGAAGTAAGTCATAAAGAAAAAGAAAAATACCGGATGGTCTCACTCATAGCAGGAATTTAGAAAACCTAAATAAGGTACCAGGAAAAAGACTAATTAATGCCTCTTTAGTTTTTAGGAATGAAATAATGAGAAAATCTAACTATAGCGTATAGGGAATATCTTCCAAAGTTTCCATTTGTCAACCAAGCCACTACTCTCATAGACCACATTTGTCTCATAAACCCACATTGTAAAACATAACAAGAACAAACAGAAAATAATATCTGAGAATGAAATCACAGAAGGGCATTGCAGAATGAACCTAGAGGTGTGTGAGTATCACTCAGTCATTTTTAAGTAAGGTACAGAAATCCTGGGTGATAAGTTCCTTGTTTGCTGCTTTCTTCTGCATAGGACATTCAGCCAATAATGTGTATACAGAGACATTGACTGGAATGAGTGTATTCCATTTTAAAATTTAATTTAACTTGCCTAAAGATGAACAACTGATAAGCTGAGGATCTGGGGCAGGATTCTGCTGTCATAATCTCAGATCCCTTTCTCTGACAGTGTCCTACAGTATCTCATTAAGTGGTTCCATGATCAATTCTCTGTCCAAAATAACCTAATCAACTATCCCCTACCCACCTCACTTGCTGAAACTACTTCAAACACACACATATACACACATATACAAAATATGTATATATAGGTATGTATACATTTATTATATGCCAGGCAATCTGTTAATTTAGTGGGATGTAACAGTGAACATGATTTGTAATATGAAAAAGAAGACAATCATAAATCACGGTTCAAGTATAGTGAGTATTGTAATGGGGATGCGGGGTGTATGATGCTATGAGAACTCATAACCCAGAAATGGATAATTAAGCTGAGGTCTAAATTATCAGCAGAAGTTAGTTAAATCAGACAAAAAGAAAAATTTGCATGAATGCCCTGAAACCAAACTTTGTGGTACAAAGAATTAGAAGAATAATACATGTAAGAGATGATGATGACCTAAGTGGGTTTGGTAGCTATAGAACCACCAGTCATCAGTGAACATTGCTAGCAGGTATAAGTTATGGGAAAGGTCAAGGGTGAGCATTGGATTTGTACAGGTTCAACAGTCAGATACATCATGTCTCAGTTCTTCTAGTCTGCACACATGTGCAACACATCCCACCATACCTTATATTAAACATTCTTGTTTTCATGGTGAGTTCACAGGATGATCAGATATTCTTTATATCCCTAATACTTTGTTCAGTGTCCTTGATGTAGG